GCAGCTGCGGCAGAAACGGCAAAGCCAGGAACGGGCACTGGGTGGCTTCTTCCTCCAAGGAGGGACCCGCTCCTGCACCTGCTACGTCAACCCGTCCACCGTCAAGAAGTTTGCGACCGGGAGCAGCAGCAGTGGCGGACGGACCTTCACCGAAAGCTCCGACGGGGTCAACGGATTTCGGGAGCGGCTGGGCCAAGCGGCGCCCCAGCAGGACACCTGCTGCTGCGGGCTGGAGGAGGCGATTGACGGGGTGCGCTTCATCGCCGACCACATGAAGAGCGAAGACAACGATCAGAGCGTGAGTCAGCTGAGGGGCCGGTCCTAAAATGAGACCTCTGCTCCGATGTCCTGGAGAGTCATTTTGGCTTCGTTGGAGGCCGTTCCAAGATGTCTAGAACGGCACCTTGGCAGCTTTATAAGAGCGATGGACTTCAACTCCCAGAATTCCTCAGCCAGCAGGCAATTCAGGCATAGAATTCTGTGAGTTGAAGTTCATCCTTCTTAAAGGATGCTGATTGGGGAATTCTGGGAGCTGAAGTCCACAGCTCTCAAAGTTGCTAAGGGTTGAAAACAGCATTCTAGAAGTTTCAAAGTCTCTACTAAGCAGCATAAAGTTATGGAGCCAGTTTGATGTAGTGTTGGTTTGGAAACTGGGCGATCGTGAGTTATAGTTCTGCTTTAGGCATGAAACCAGCTGGGTTTCTCTCTTCTTGTCCTAGGCAGGAAAGAGTGGCCAAATCTTTCCGGGAAATGTTGCCAAGAAAAATCCATTCACCATTAAATCATTTTCTTTAAAAAAAAACATTCACAAAAACTAGCACCCTAAGCAGAATTTTTTGGCGTGCGGAAAGAAATTGCGATTAGTTTTAGCCTTACTTTGGCCCAAATAAACCAAGATGATAACCATCACCACCACTAGAGGGTGGTAGGAGGCAGCTTCCAAGCAGATCCACTAGAGGGCGCTAATCTCTGTCCGTTGTCCCCTTTCTAGGTCAGCGAGGACTGGAAGTACGTAGCCATGGTGATTGACCGTCTCTTCTTGTGGATCTTCATCTTTGTCTGCATCTTCGGCACCATCGGCATGTTCCTCCAGCCTCTCTTCCAGAACTATGCCACCAACTCCCTCTTGCAAATAAACCATAATTAGCCCCCTTCCGATGGTGGCTAAGGGTGGTCTCCTTCTGCATCAGGAGGGAGAAAAGGACGCCCATTGTGGTTCCTCCCAGTGAACATCATCTCATGGGGCTATCAAGAGGTGACCAAAGACCTTTAACCCATCCATCTCTTGGCCCTTGGTTGAAGGCTAGGGAGACAAGACAACTTGAGGAGGAGGACCTCAACAAGTTCTGGAAGGAGCTCTTTGTTGCTTTGGAAAAGCCTGTTGACCAACGGGATGACCTGGTCAACCAGGTTAGCAGACCTCCTTGGAACAGGGGGTGTCCAGTCACACATCCCTGCCCTACCGGGACCAGCTTGAGTAGCAAGGAACAGCTAAGAGAGAAATTTCTCCTACCCAAGGTGGTCAAACCGTATCCCTTGCTGTCCTGAGGTCCTACTCAGAGGTGGCTCTTGGGAGGATGGCTGGTTTTCCCAAACCTTTTCAGGAACAAGCTGGTCCCATCCAGGATGGAAGACCTCCATTTTGGAGCAGAAGGAGATGGACCAAGGGTGGTGGATACCTCCTGCAGTTTCACTGCCGTTGGGCATTTTAGAGTAGTCCTTCTCTCCTAAACAAACAAACCATGGCTTAGACCAGTTATGGGGTATTAGCTCCCAACTCAGGGAAATATATATATAGAATATATATATACAGATATTTATGTTTATATCCATCTTTCCTGGATGTCTCCATGAAGCTGCAGAAGAATGGACTTTGCTGTGGCAAATTAGCTGTTACCGAATGATCTACAGGTAGTCCTCAGCTTAGCGACCACAATCGGAATCAGAATTTACATGCTAAGCAAGGCGGTGGGTTAAACAAGCCACACTCGCTTTTACGACAGTTTTGTTTTCCTGGGGTTGTTAAGTGAATCAAGCAAACCCAACTTTCCCTATTGACTTTTGCTCATCAGGTCGCAAATGGGGATCACACGACCCCGGGGAACGGCCGTTAAATGCAGCACCCGATCAGGCGATTGTGGGGGTGCTGGGACGGTCCCAAGTGTGAGGATAAGTCGTAACTTTTCCCCCCAGCGGTATCGTGACTCTGAAAGGGTCGCAAAACCAATTGTCGTAAGCCGAGGATTATCTGTATTTGATTTTTTAAAAAATTCTTCTGGGCAGGATAAACCGGCAGGTGAGGGTCACTAACGTGCCCACGGGGACGGAGGTCCAAAAGGAAGAGAAAAAAATAATTTGGGCCGAGATCAAAGTCCTTGACCGTCTTCCCGTCCTCTTAGCCTCTCTGACCAATGCTAGCTTTGAAACAACAATAAAATAGATCACGTAGATGGGAGGTCTGTCTTTTGATGACGCTGTTATGGGGTCTTTGGGGAGGGGGTCCTGTGGGGAAGGGGAAATGGGTGGAGCTCGTCCAGTTTGCAATGAAGTCATGGGGGAAAAACCCACAAGCAATCGGTTAATTTTGGCTAAGTGGAAAAGTGCAAAGAGTGTGATTGCCGTAAACCAGGGTTTCTCAACCCTGGGAACTTTTTTAAGGTGCTTGGACTTCAACTCCCAGAATCTCCAGCCAGCATGCTTTAAGACCCATGGACTCCCAATTCCCAGAAATCCCTTACGCTTTAAGGCAGGGGGCCTTCAAACTTGGCCCTTTGATGACTTGTGGACTTCAACTCCCAGAATTCCTCAGCCAGGCACGCTGGCTAAGGAATTCTGGGATTTGAAGTTTGAAAGACCCCTGATTTAAGCCTTCTTGCGTTCTCCCCCCCCCCAAAAAAAAACCCCAGAGGGGAAACAGTCGCTACAGAAAAAAAAATCTGTTTATTTCAGGCAGAATGTAATGACATCTGTCCATCAAATGAGGATCTGGAAGATGAACGAAAGGCAGACTTGCACACACACACCCCAAAAAATGGAAGGAGGAATAAACCATTATTATGAGAGGAGGGTCAAATCTGAAATAGGGGGGAATCACAAGGGAAGAGGGGGACACCAACTACGAGGGGAGAAGATGTTGGGAAAGGAAGGCTCCAGTTTTTGGGCTTATTATTATTTTTAGGAAAAGTGGATTTCCGGCAATGCTGGCTGACTTCTAGGAGCGACAGAAGCACAAAACATGGTTAAAGGGGAAGGTTATGCAAAATCACTCAACAGAGGCCAGGTTTTCCTCTTGGTTTAAGGCAGGGGCCTCCAAACATGGCCCCTTTTAACACTGGTGGACTTCAAGTCCCAGAATTCCCCCATCCAGCATGCTTTATGTATAGACTTTTAAGTCTCCTGGCTGGGGAATTCTGGGAGTTGAAGTCCACCAGTCTTAAAGGGACCACGTTTGGAGACCCCCGGTTTAAGGGAACAACAGATAAATGGATCACATGGGAAGCTGCACCCACTTGCATAAATACATTTAAAAATGGACACGTTAAATTAGCCGGGGACCTTTAAAATGCCCACCATGGCTATTTGCAGGGAATTTGGGGGGGGGGGGAAGAATGCAATTTGGCCCCACTGTAGCCCCCAGCCTCCATTTGCAGCTGGCCACCCGAAGGAAGGGTGCTCCCGAGCGTGTGAAAACAGCTGTGCTTCGGTTTAAGACTTAATTTTTGTTCAACCTTTCTGCACGAAGACACAACATCCACGGGATGGGGAAAAGGAATGATAACTAACATTTTGTGCTGGGGGGGGGAAGAGGCTGGGTTTTTCCTGCTGAAGACCCACAGCTCTCTGGGTCAGGAGGATTTCAAATTTAGAGTTTTAGCCTCTCCAATCTCAGATTTCCTGAGTTGCTTTCCCGTAAAAATTTGGGCTCAGACGGACAACGCGGAAAAGAACCAGCGATTTTGCTTGCTGGGCAAAGAAGAAATGGGAAAAGGGGAAGCGGAGAAAACTGACCGGTGCAGCTTATATAGGGCTCGCCAGGAAAGACACCACCATACAAACTACCATCCCACCAGGACAGGCACTGTCCCTCGAGCTACAGGTTTGAGTCCTCCTCGGTCAAAAAGCCTTGGAGAAAAGTTGAAATGTCCCTCAAACGATTCGATTTTCAAGGTGAGGAAACTCGCACGAGGGTCTTCGGGAAACGCCCGGGGATGGAACAGAGAGAAACGAGAAATGTGTGAACGCAAAGCGTCCAGTGTGCCAACTTCACTGTTTGAAAAGAAAGGTTCCAATAATGATTTGGGAGTGTTTTATTTATTTATTTTGGTCGCCGCCCCCCCCAAAAAAAGTGGGAAGGAAGGAATGAGGGAGGGAGGAAGGGAGGGAGGGAGGGAGGAGGAAGGAAAAGAGAGATAGGAAGGAAGGAAGACAGAAAGAGATAGGAAGGAAGGAAGGAAAAGATAGAAATAAAGAAGAAATAAGAAAAGGAAGGAAGGAAGGAAAAGACAGAAATAAAGAAGAAATAAGGAAAGGAAGGAAGGAAGGAAAAGACATGGATGGATGGATGAATGGATGGAAGGAAGGAAAAAAGTAAGGAAGAAGAGAAAGGGAAGGAAGGAGGAAAAGGAGGGGGAAGAGAGGAATGCTGGTGGATCTCTTGTTCCCTCAAGTCCTTTGAATCAAGTCTCGGCAAATCCATGCTGAAAAAGGGAGGTGGGGATTTAAAAGAGAGGAGGGGGAGGGAAAGACCCCTGGCCTTCCCAACTGAATTAAAACACCTTGTCGCTCTAAACTGGAGGGATGTCCGCTCTCCGGGAATTTGATACGCGACGTGAAAAACATTCATTTTTTCCGTTAAAAACAACCCCCATCGGGCCAGCTCCAAATCTAAAAAATAAATCCTCCCTTTTTTCCCCCCCTCCCCGGCTTCTGCAGAAAATAAAAAAAATTGAAAAATGAGAGAGAGAGAGAGAGAGAACAAAACAAAACAAAAACAAAAAAAATCACAGGAAAGGAGGGGCTGCGGGTTCCGGCAGGACGAAGGTCTTCTCCTCCTGGGGTTTGCAAATCCAGCTCCCGTAGCCCATTTCTTGCAAGCCCCAAAAGAACTGCTGCTTGGCACTCTGGTAGGGGACAGCCAAGCCTTTGGCCTCTGAGTAGACAGTGATGTTCTGGAGATCTTCCCGACCCATCTTGGCACAAAGCATCCGGAACAGGACAAAGAGACTCTGCTTGGAGACGCGCGACATGTCCAGCTTGGGCCTGAGGAAAGAGGAAGGGCTGCTTATTATCCCAAACAATTCAGGAAAGAAATAATAATAATAAAAAATGGAGTATCCCCTGAACACCTTCGGCATTGACAACTTCACCATCGGTCAATTGCAAAAGGCAGCTTGGCTTAAATCCTGCCATGAGTCTTTTAACCCCATCAAACCACAACATCTGCCCATCCCAGGTCCTTGGGAAGGACTTGGTAAGTGGATAGAAATGCCAAATCCAGTCTAAACATCTGGATGACTGTGCAAGGAAGCACAATAATAGTAATAATGCTGTCAGCATTGACTAAATCCCCATTGGTCAATTACAAAAGGCAGCTGGACTCGGAACAGCTTAAATCCTACAATTATACTTTTAATATGATTAAACATCAACGTCTGCCCATCCCAGGCCCTTGGGAAGGACCTCATAAGTGGACAAAAATGCCAAATTCACTCTAAACATCTGGCTGACTGTATGACAGACCGTAATAATACCAATTGAACACCGTCGGCATTGACAAAATCCCGGTCGGTCAATTGCAAAAGGCAGCCTGACTCGGAACAGCTTAAATCTTACCTTTAACAACATCAAACCACAACACCTGCCTGTCCCAGGTCCTTGGGAAGGAATCAAGAGGTGGATAAAAATGCCATATCCAATCTAAACATCTGACTGACCGTGCCACAAATCATAATAATGATGGGGGAATTGTTTATAAATTCAGGACAGAACCCCTTTTGTCTTTGCCGAAGAAGGAAACAAGAGGGGAGAATAGAATGTAGAATAATCCACCCGATAAAAATGCTCCAGGATCTCTGCAGATCCCCCCCAAAATTCCGATCCCGAAAGGGTCCACATCGGTCTTACCCGTCCACTTTGCCTTTTGTGCCGTCCAGGACTTCGACGTTGGTGCTATCTGGGAGACACCAGTTGATGCTCGATTCCTTGGTCTTCCCCGTCTGCCTCGCGGAGTCGTAGACACTGACCCGGCCAACCTGCACGGCCAAAGAGGAGGGGGCTGAATTTCTTTGCCGGACCGAGCCGCGAACAGCCATCGCTCAAGCCTGCGGCGTCCTGATTACCCAAGGATATTTACCCCTCCCGTACAGTACTGCGGGATGATCCCGTTGCCTCAAACGCTTAAAAAGCCACAGAAAGGTGTCCGCGGTGGCTTTGGTTGACCAGACTTGACAAGCAGGGAGGTAAAAGCGGTGTGTTGCTTCCCTCGAGGGCAAAAATCAGTCTATGGGCCGTCCTCATTTAGCGACGACGGGGATAAAGAAGTAACTTTGCAACCTTCACACAGACTTCTTTACGGGTCTCTCCGGCCAAGGAAAGCCGAAGTAGGATCGTAAGCACAGTCACAGTTTCATTCAGGGACCGAGTCGCCCGTCCCAATTGCAGTCACTGAATGAGGATGATCTGTATAGCTTAGAGATCTGTGTTGTTTGGGGGGGTGTCACTGGGGGGGAAGGAATGGAGGAGGAGACCCATCTTGTTTCTTAAGAATAAGGACAGGAGATTTATTTTGCTCTCTTAAGTGCTATCATCCAGCCTGACCCTTCTCGGTTAAACGAATCAGAGAGAGAGAGTTCAACGCAAGGAATACCTCGGGGTGATTGACCAAATACGGCGCGGGAAGTCTTGTTTCGAACGCATTGCCGTCTCTGGACATCCGGCAGCAAATGGCGCGGGTCAAGTGACCTTGGCTGTACAAGTAGCCTGCAAGAAGCGAGAAAAGGTAAAGGTGGTTTAAGGAAAGGATTGTAAGAAGTAATGTCTCGTTTGCCAATTTATCTCGTTTAGAAAGCTTCCCGTCTTAAAGCAACTCTGAAGGAGACAGCGAGTTCTAGTCCCTCGTTAAGCATGACTGGGCTTGGGCTTACCGAGTGTGACCGAGCGAAGGTAGACCGGCTGTAAGAAGTGTGACAACAAGGCGCCTTGCAAGCCGAGCACATTCCAGCGCAGGATTTTGTCGCTGCAGGACATGGTGCGCAGGCGTTCGCCATGCTGGATGCCGTCCCAGGTTGGCACGATGTCACTTGACTCCACCGGGATGGTGCCCTCTCCTGCGGATAAGTCCAAAGGAGCCAGGTGAAAAAGCCAGCTGGATGCACTTGAAAGCTGGGTGACTTTGCGCCAATCACCAGGAGACGGTGAGTTCTAGTCCCACCTTAGACATGAAAGCCGGCTGGGTGGTCTCCTTCACCAGGAGAACGTGAGTTCTAGTTCCGCCTTAGGCATGAAAACTGACTGGGTGACTTTGGGCAAATGACTAGGAGAGCGTGGGTTCTAGTCCCGCCTCAGGCAGGAAAGCCAGCTGGGTGACTTTGGGCCAGTCCCTCCCTCTCAGCCCAGTCCAGCTCACAGGATTGTCATTGCGGGGAAAAGAGGAGAAGGAAGGAGTATTAGGCATGCTCACCGCCTTGAGTTAAAGGCGGGATACCAATCAATAAAACAATAAATTAAAAAAAAACACCCAATCCTCAGTTCTCCGGGTAGCTGATCCTCTTTGACCCTTTTATTCAAAGTTCCCCTCTGCGTAATTCATCCCCCATTTGCCAATGAATCAAGAGGCGGGTGATTGACGATCGCTCCTATCGTTGTTGGAATCATGAGGATGAGAAGCTCGGCGCTTCAGCCGCACACCAGCAAGCCCAGAGCCCAGAATTTCAATGGGGAGATTCAGCAATTACCGTTTTCCACCTTGGTGCGTAGCTTCCCCTGTTTGGGGTTCTCAAAGAGGGGCTGGTGCTGGTCCTCCCCGGCTGTGTTGGCCTGCTCACTGCAGGATTTGTCGAAGAGAGCGCCATCCCCACAAGGCGCCGTGCTGGGGAACACAAACACACAAACGCACACAAACACCAAGCAATGAGGCTGAATCCTGAACAACTGCAGAGATTCCCTCAACAAACGTGGCAAGGAAAGTTGTATAAATGGGGCAAAACCTGACACATTTTTCCAACTCCGCAACAGGAAATTTGGGAGCTCAATTTTGGCCGTTACGCCGAGGACTACCTGTATTCCAGCCAGCTAAGGAACCTCCTTTACGCTCAACCTGGTGGATCCAGGTGAAAGGGAAACATCCCTACAACTCACCTGATGTACAGGTGAAAGCTGATGTCATCTTTGATCTTTAATTTGCCGTCTTCCGTCGGCTGAAAGATACTCCCTTCGGGCGCCGAGGGGTCAAACTCCATCAGCTCGTTGTACAGAAACCTGAAAGGGAGATGAAAGATAATGCTGTCAGGACTTGAATACAGCTCCCATTGCCCCCAGACACCCTTCCCGCCAGCCTGAGGGTTCCCAGACGCCACCGCCTCCCTGTCTTCACCTGATGAAGCCCCGTCTGGAGATGATCTCCGCGTGGCAGTCGTTCACCGTCTCCCCCTTCAAGCTCAGCTCCTCCCCTTTCACACAGCGGTTCCCTGGGGGGGGGGGAAGAGACCTTAAACCTTCCTTCCTTTCCTTCCATTTATCTATCTTCCCATCTATCTATTCTTCCCTTCCTTCCTTCCTTCCCTTCCTCTTCTCTCCTCCTTTCTTCCTTTCCTTCCATTTATCTACCTATTCTTTCCCTCCCTCCCTTCCTATCCCCTCCTTCCTTTCCTTCCTTCCATTCATTTATCAATCCATCTATTCCTTCTTCCTTCCTTCCCTCCCTCCTTTCCCTTCTCTCCCCCCCCTCCGTTCCTTCATCTATTTATCTATCTACCCATCTATCTCTATTCCTTCTTTCCTTCCTTCCTTCTCCTCCTTCTCCCCTTCCCTTCTCTCTCTCTCTATCTATCTGTCTGACAGATCTTATACTTTTTACTAAAGAGTTTACTAAAGATAGGAACATATAGAAAGCAAACATAGAAAGTAAGAGAAGGGGGGGAAAAAGAGAAGGAAGGCAAAGCTAAAAGCGCAAGAGAGGAAAAAGAAAAACAGCAGAAAAAAGAGGAAAGGGAAGAGAAGAGAAGCAGCTGCCGATACTCTTCACAAATTTGTGAAGTTTGATTGCAAATCCACCTCTTCCCTTGCAGTCAGTGACATCCCACCTTTTCATCCCAGAATCTATTCTGCGTCATTTCTGAAACCACCAATCGCAAATTCAGGTTCCTTTTCCCCATTTCAACCGCCCCCGTCCCCCATCTCCCCGCCACCCTTACCTGTCCCGATGCTGACCACGACCCCCAGCCCCTCCTGCCCCCTCCTCATGATGATGGCGGCCAGGATCTTGCGTCCCAGCAGGCTGTGCTGGATGCGGGCGGTCAGGGCATTGAAGCGCTGGTGGCTGAGCATGGCGATCTGGTCGTGCAGCGTGCTCCCGCTGACCGGCAGCTGCAAAGCGGGAGGAGGAGAGGGTCAGCCGTGACCTTCCGGGCCTGGGGGTCTCTGATCCCCTTGGGGCAGGGAGAGAATGAAGCCCAAAAGCGATCGGTCAAGCAAACCGGCCCAAGGGCGCCCAGATTGGGAACCGGGTCGCCGGGAAGCAGATCCGGGGGGGAGGGAGGGACTCGGAGGGGCCTGACCTCGGTGACGCCCAGCCCTTCGGCCATGTGCTCGGCCTTCTCGTTCTCCCCGATCAGGACTCGGAGGGCTGCGTCGGCCGCTTCCTGCTTGCCCTGCTTCTTGCTGTGCGCCGTGACGGACGGGAACCAGCGGCCGCCCACCTTCGCCTGGAAGACGAACCTGCCGGAGAGAATCGGCTGGAGATGTCTCAGGTCCTGGCACCCCCCGGAAAAGTTAAGATTGTCCTCAATTGACAACGGTCCATTTAGTGACCATTCAAAGTTGCAACGGCACTGGAAAAAAGCGACTTTTTTTTCACGTTTACGACAGTTGCGGCCTCCCCTGCGGTCACATGATCAATATTCAAGACACTTGGCAATGGACTCGTATTTACGACAGTTGCAGCGCCCCAGGGTTACGTGATCCCCTTTCGCGACCTTAAAAAGTCAAGGGGGAAGCCGGGTTCATTTAGCGACCGTTGTGACAAAGTTAACAAATGCAGCGATTCGCTGAACGACCGCGGCGGGAAAAGTCGTAAAGTGGGGCGAAGCTCACTTAAGAAGCGTCCCATTCCTTTAAGGGTGGCGAGGAAGGCCGTATAAAGGGGGCGAAACTCAACCGGTGTCTCGCTTAGGGACGGAAACCTTGGCCTCAGACCACCTGTATGATGGCGGAGAGTGGGCAGGTTTTCGAGAGAGGGGCCGAGCCGGACGAACGGCGGACCGTCCACTTACTTGGGGTCGTGAGGAGGGCCGGTCTGATTGATCAGCTTGAATTCGGCCGCGAAGCCGTTGGCCCGGGCGTATTCCAGAAGGCCGCTGACCGGATTCGAATTCAGGTACTTGATTAGCTCGCCGACCCCCTTGGCGCTGACCGTCTTGGACTCCTCCGGATTGGCCAGCTGGCCACCTTGCAAGTCCAGCGGGGGCTCGGAGGGGGCTTCAATCTAGGAAGGCCAGGAAAGAAAGGGATTTGGGCCGTGAAGGGAGTGGGCAGAGGGACGTTGGGGAGGGGAAGGAAACCGGGGAAGGGCTTACCTGCTCAGGTGAAGGGGTGGTTTCGCCAGTCAGCCCCTTCATGGCGGCCTCGGCGGCCATTTGCTTCGCCCCCTTCTTGCTGTTCGAGACCACCGCGGGGAAGATCTGCTCGCCCACCTTGACGCAGTATCGAAACCTGAGCAGACGCCAGAGGAATAATCCGTGTTTAATCTGGGTGTAACTAAACCGTTTTGTCCCGTTTTATGACCTCCCTTGCCACAGTTGTTACGGGAACCACTGCAGTTGTGAAATTAGTCACACACAGTCGCTAAGCAAATCCGGCTCCTTCCTTCACTTTGCGAGCCAGGAGGTCGCAAAAGGGGATCAGGTGACCTCAGGGACGCTCTGACCGTCGTAAATATGAGTCAGTTGCCGAGCGTCTGAATTTGGATCACGTGACCAGGGGGTAGGCGTGAAAAAACGGTCATAAATTGCTTTTTTTCCAGTGCTGTGGTCAGTAAACGAACCGTTGTGAAGTCGAGGATTCTCTGCATTAACAACCGTGTGACAACTTAACAACTGCTGTGATTTACTTAACGAAGGTGGCAAAATGGGGCAAAACTCACCAACCAAGCGTCTCACTTAGCCCCAGAAAACTCAGTTGTGTGGTTGTTAAGCTGAGGACTGCCCGTAGTAGCAAACCCTCTTCTGAAGTGGCAGATAGGGTTTCCTGCCTGAGCAGGGGGTTGGACTAGATGACCTCCAAGGTCCCTTCCAATATCACCATCATCGTCATCACCATCATTGGCTTACTTTGGATCATGAGGCGGTCCCTCCTGAGAGAGGAGCTTGAATTCGCACACGCTGCCCAGCTTCTGGGCGTATTCCATCAAGGCGCTGATGGGGTTCTTCCCGCAGAGGAGGCCGAGCTGTGGGGCGGTGGGCTCGGCCTCGGCCTCGGGCTCGGCCTGTTCAGGCTGGAGAGCAAGAATGGAGAAATGATAATAAATAGGGAAGAGCCGGTTTCAGAAAGGGGCTGTCTCTTTGGCCTGGATTTGGCCTCCTCTTCCTCCTCCTTCTCACAAACCCCCCTCCTTTGTAGCACTGATGATGTTGCCTAGCTGGGTCATGAAACGTCCGCATGGAAACCACCCAGCTCAGACAGCACCAAGGATCCCAAAGTCCGTCCGTCCGTCCTTCCTTCTCTCTCATCCATCCATCCATCCATCATCTTTCTCCTCCCTCCTAGCACTGATGATGTTGCCTAGTTGGGTCATGAAACGTCCGCAAGGAAACCACCCAGCTCAGAGAGCACCCAGGACCCCACAGTCTTTCCTCCTCCTCCTCCTCACCATCTCCGCTTCCCTGAGGGAGCTGTCCTCGTACAGTGACGTTTCGGGCCCCATGCTGTCCTCTCCCTCATGCTGGGCTTCATGGAGAAGGATTTTCATGGCGATGGCGGCTGCTTCTTGCTTGGCCAGCTTTTTGCTGCCTGCTTCGGCTGGAGGGAACCGGCGGGTGTCAATCTTGGCTTGGAATTTAAACCTTGATGGACGAGAGAGAGAGGGGGGGTAGGGGGAATGATAGAAAGAGAATGAGAAAAGAAAATGAGAAATAGAGCAAGAATGAAAGAATGAGAAAAAAAAGAATGAAAGAATAACTTTATTGTCACTTTAAATGTACACTAATTGCCACACATTAAAATGAAAATTTCATCGCATACAGGTCTGAAAGAGTCACCACCTCCAATATACGCTACATAAATATGACAAAAATAAACAACAGAATTATGCAGATACCCACATATATCATAGGACACAGAGAAACAACACAGAAAGCGAATGAGAATGGAAGAGAGCGAGAAAGCGAAGGAAAGAATGAGAAAGGAAGAGAAAGGAAAGGAGAGAGATAGAGAGCAAGAATGAAAGGAGAGAAAAAGAATATGGGAAAAAGAAAGCGAATGAGAGAATGAGACAGAAAGAAAGGAAAGAAAAAGAGTGCGAGAAAGAAAGGGAATGAAAGAGGGAGTGAGAAAGTGTGTGAGAGAGAAACAGCAATGAAAAAATAAAGACAATTAAGGAGAATTTGGTTTTTAGGGACAGGCTACCATGTTTCATACATATTTCACATGAACTGGGGGGGGGTTGGACTAGAAGACTTCCCAGGTCCCTTCCAGCTCTGTTATTCTGTAATCCCAGATCAATTAACCAGTGGAACAGCCTGCCTCCAGAAGTTGTGGGTTTTTAAGAAGAGATTGGACAGCCATTTGTCCAATCAGCCGGTTCGCACCACTTTGGCAGAACCAGTAGCTAATTTTTTTGTTGCCCGGGCCCAGAACGGACTTCTGGAAACGGCCTCCACACAGAGAACCGGTTGTTCACTGATTTGAATCCCACCACTGGTTATAGGGTTTCCTGCCTGAGCAGGGGGTTGGACTAGAAGACCTCTGAGGTTCCTTTCCATTCTCTTATTCTGTTTTCCAAGAAAACAAAAGCAACAACACCCAGGTGCCTTTAGGACAACCACGACTTGGATGGCTGAGAATCTCCCGGGATGCCCTGGGGGACCCTCTCCCCCTCCCTCCAACGCCCCCGCCCAGGTGAAGTCTCCTACCGTGGCTCGTGGGACGGCCCGCTCTGCTTCAGCAAGACGAACTCACAATGCTGGTACATGTACTGCGTGTATTCGATCAAGCCGCTGACGGGATTCTTCTTCTGGCAGGCCATGAGTTTCTCCAAGGGGGTGCACTGGAAGGCCGTGTCGAACTGGGCGGCATAGCTGGGCGAGAGGGGGGACACCATGATGTACCGCGACTCGTCCTGGTTGCTCATGGCGTTCATGTCCTCGGGGATGTCGTCGCTGGCCCAGCTGCTGTTCTCAAAATGGTCGTAAAGGGAGAAGCGGTAGTACCTGGGACGCTTGCGAGAGGGGCCGCCCCACGGTGGGCGCCCGGCGCCCGGTTCCATCGGCTCGGCTGTCTGCTGCCCGTTCTCGATCTTCTTCTCCTCCTCGTCCGGCAGCAGAGGTGGAGGAGGAGGAGGAGGAGGAGGAGGAGGAGAAGGGTGAGGGGAAGGCAGGTGGGCAGGGGCCTCGGGTTCGAGGCACGGAGCTGGGGTCTCGGCGTCTGGTGGGACCATCTGCCGGACCTCTTCGGCTTTTATCTTGACCTGCATCCGTTTCCGCTTGTTGTCCGTCAGGGACCACTTGGGAGGGCTGGCGTTCTCCTTGTGCACCTCGCCCAGCTTCTCCAGGGCCAGGAGGGCGGCGTTGACCTCCCTGGCCTTGCTCAGGCCAATGTTCTTGGCCAGGTTGTGGGCGGTGGAGTCCGCCACCCCGAACAAGAAGCCGCAGATCTTCTCCTTGACTTCAGCCATGTCAGGGGAAGCGATGGGGGAGTCCTCCTGATCCGAAGCAGAACTTCCTTCTTCTCCGATCCCCAAGTCCAGAAGGCGCTGGCGTTCCTCCCGGATGGATGGACGTCCCTCCCGGCTTGCTTCCGAGACGTTGCGCCCGTCCGCTAACCTCCACAGTGGCGGAGTTCTCCCTGACCGACTCAGCTGCCCTCGGTGGTGAAGCTTGTAGAGATGGTGGTTGACCACTTTCTTCTGGACGTGCAGCCGGTGGGCAAGATGGTAAGCGGATACGGTCTGCCCGGATTTCAGGTCGCTCAAGATCTCCAGGAGATTCTGCTCCACGTTTTGCTCGCTCAAGGTCAGCCCCTGAAAGCTGGAGACCAGCTGGTCAGCTCCACCCGTCGGACAATCGGCGGCGTAGGTCGGCTTAGGACGTAACGGCTGCTTCTGTCCCTGCCAGACACCTTTACAGGGCTGACTTCTGGCTGGGTCCCTGTATTTGGACCATAAATTGAAACGGGGTGAGGGTGGAAAGGATGTTCCTGGCTCTTGGGACCTCTGCGCACCAGGCTTCCAGAGCGGAGCTTCGGAGAGTTCTCCTTGCAGGAAGAGGATCTGCTCCTGATGAAAATCCACAAGTCTACCGGATCTGGGCGAGGACTGATCTGAAGCTGTTTGGCCAGTAGGGAGTCTGCTCATAGCATGCTGATGGGGAAGACGAGCAGGGGTGAAGACATTGTCAGCAGATGTGGAAGAACCTGGCCAAGGGACGAGAAGGCACGTTTCAAACCGGGTTGCAGGCAGAGAAGACCTTCCTAGTTCCCCTCAGGTTGCCCGTTGGCTTCCTGGAGACAAGCCCTCGAGATCGCCAGCATTCCAAAACGACTTGAGGGCCCATATTCCACCCATCCGCGACTCCAGACCTCAAGCACCCTGCCAGGTTTAGCGCCAAGGTGGGTCACTGCCCGCTTTCTTGGACCCAAGAGAAGCTATTTTAGAAACATCTACAAGAATCAGGGATTCGTAAGCCGTCTCCAAACACAGCCGGCTTTGCTCCTTCATAATAATAATAATAATAATAATAATAATAATAATAATAATAATAATAATAATAATAATAATAATAATAATAATAATAATAATAATAATAATAATAATAATAATAATAATAATAATAATAATAATAATAATATTCTTCGCTGGATTTGAGCTTCCCAAATCTTTCCTTCATCCCTTCGTGCATTGCAAATACTTGTGCTTAATTTTTTTTTTTTTTTTAAGAATTGTTTTCCTAGCTTGGTCTGAGGTTTTTAGCATCAGCCCTTTCTTTTGGCAATAGTTTAGGGATGAGCGGAGGAACAATAGTTTTGCTTCCCAAAGAGAATGAGTTGATGTTTGCTCTGCTGGAAGTAAATTTCTTTGGAAAAGGCCGGCTTATGGCTTGCGTTGTGCCAGGTTGAATCTAAGGCTAATCCGATCTAACCGCTCTGTTCTTTGTACAGATAATTAAAAGATTAATATGCCTCCGATATATTGCCCTACACCTGGCTAATTTAACCACTGTTTGTGGACTTTGCCACAAAAAGTTTAGTTCACACAAAATGTTGATCTGTACAAGCAGGATGGGACATCATTTTAAACCAAATCAAACACACTTGGCATAATTAAAAATAAATTAAAAAACCCTCAGCCTATGTTCGTAGCCGTCTTTTCTTTCTCAACCCCTGTAAAATTAGATATACCGAAAGAAGCACCAAAAAACTATTTTATAAATGCACAGAGGGATATTCTTATGGAACGTTCCTAAGAGCTTCTAAATGCCTACTTATTCAGGGAAATAATTCTTAACCCTCTCTCACATCCCTTTGCAATTCTCAATCATCCCTCTTCCCTCTTTAATCGAAACCTTAACAGAAGGGGTGCATATGTGTGTGTGTGTATGTGTCTGTGTGTGTGTGTGCATGCATGCAAACCCAAGCCAGGTGAAGAGCAGCATAAAAAAAAAAAATCAAATTGCAATGTAAAATCCCGGAAACCAAGGACAGGACAGAAGTTTACAGACGTAGCTGCAGACTCGGAAAACCTTTTTTTCCAAATCCTGGAAATATTTTTCAGTTTTTTAAACAACAGACCTGGAATAAAAATGGACCCCCTTGCGTGGAGATTTCAAACCCCAGGCACCAGGATTAAATCACGTCAAACCCGTAAAAGATTTCTCATGCTTTCAATTATTAGGACCCTGAAACTGATCATGGTTCCCAATCAAACTCATTCCCTTATCTTTCAAACCCAACAAACTGCCCTAGAGGAGCCTTCACACCTCCTTTCTCTCATGCTTAAAAGTAGCTACAAGTCACCTTTTTTTTTTTTTGCCAAGGAACACACCCTACCTCCCTTATCATGTCGGAACGCAATTCTACTCACATGCTACAAGATTTACTCCTGGGTAAAATGGACACAGGGGTGTAATTGTCCTGTCTGGACAACTCACCGAGTTTTCCCACCCTTTGGATGTCTCCAAAGTGAAGTGCCCCTTGTCAAGGCTTGAATATTTACCATGAGAGTGGATTTTTCCCCCAGCTAGCTGGGTCTGTTTGCACCTCATCTTGGGAAGAGTTGTAAAAAAAAGAAGAAGAAAAAAGGAGGGGATGTCTTCCCCCAGAGGTCGGGGGGGGGGGGGGGACACACACACACACGGAAAAAGGGGTCTGAAGTGGGCAGAGACAGAAACTCAATAAATAAAGGCTTACCACTTGGCTTTGTCCTCCGAGGAGCTCTGTGCATTGCATCAAACTCGCAAAAGGCCGAGACAGAAACTTCCTGTCCCCACGGCAGGAAAGGGATTGAGATGTGCATGGGTGTGCATGAACACAAACACAGGGCCGTGCTAGGCACAGGGGGAGGAGAGTGTTCCCAGCGAGGGGTCAAGCTTAGCCAAGCTTGAGAATCAGGGCTAGGGGGAAAAGAACCTGCCTCCCCTTATTTAGCAAGGCTGGGGGGGGGGGAGAGAAAAAAAAGTTAAGTTTCACTTTCTATTCTCCTCCTTCTGGCCCTTTTCCCCCAGAGGGTGGGGTTTGTGGCTAGAAAAAAAAAGGACAGCCTCTTTGAAAGTGAAAATTTCAGTTCCCTTTCATCACCTTCGGTGGGTAGGTAGGGCTACCGGCCAGATTTATTTTACAAAAATGTCTGGTTTCCCACCCCCCTTGTCTTAAAAAAAGCAAATTTCTTAAGTCTGGTCAGCTTTGGGTGGTGAGCGAGAATCTTATATTCTTGGATTTAGGATAAAAAAGTAAGTTATATTCTTGGATTTAAGATTAAAAAATAAATTATATTCTTGCATTTAGGATTTAAAAAACTAAGTTATATTCTTGCATTTAGAATAAAAAAATAAGTTATATTCTTGGATTTAGGATTTAAAAAAATAAGTTATATTCTTGTATTTAGGATTTAAAAAACTAAGTTATATTCTTGGATTTAGAATAAAATAAATAAATTATAGGATTTAGGATAAAAAAAATTAAGTTAAATTCTTGGGTTTAGGATAAAAAAAATTAAATCACATTGTTGGATTTAGGATTTCTTTAAAAGTGAATTCTCGGATTCGGCCCTTCTGAAATTCAGGGTCCTTATCTAACCCCATCCTCACCAGCCCTCTTCACACAGACTGTGATCTCAAGATCGCAGCCTCCAGGCGCCAAGAGGCTCAAACTGATCGGGAGATTTTATCACAACAACCCATCAGGGACAGGCAGTAAACAGGAGAGCGTAAACTTTTGTTCCCGGTATTGGTTGACCAGTTCAAATAACACGCTCACCTTTCTCCGGGTGCAAAACGAGATGTGTGACAGATAAGCCAAGATCTCGCCAACTGCGGGGACTTGCGTAAGCCACAAAGCAAGCCCGACCACCTCACTTAAGGCCATCCACAAGTCAACCTACCTGGAGAGGTGAGTGTCAAGGTGTTGGAACAAGGATATTTAGGGTTAAGTCCACCCTCGACCACGGAAAAGTCCCAGAAGAAGCTAGTACGGTAGCTACTTTCCTGGCTCATGGATTTTATCCAAAGGCGGCAGCTTTGTGAAACATTGATCTTTTAATAAAATCTGTTCTCGGAAAAGGTTGAACGGAGTTGGGAGAGACCTCGGAGGTCTTCTAGTCCAGCCCCGCTCTTTTGCTACCATAAATTGACGCAATTCTTTCCCTGCAATATTTAGAATGGGAGGGTTTTTGGGGTGAATCGCTCTCAGTCCAAGCTACCTTACAGGGTTGTCGTTGCGGAGAACATAGGAAGATGCCGCTATGCAATTCAAAAGCAAGAGGGAGGTTGACAAGACACGTCAAAAAGCCAGCTTGGGTTGGTAAAGACGCGACTAGGCTAAAAACTAGGCAGCTGTGAGTTCTAGTCCTGCCTTAGGTTAGACTGGGATTGGCTTGGTGCCTCAACCGTTACCCTGATCTACTGTGCAGGTAGTCCTTGATTTGTAACGATTTGTTTAGTGACCATTCAAAGTTACGACGTCTCTCCACACCTACAACCAATCCCCACGGTCACGTGATCAAAAGTCAGAGGCTCGGCAACGGACTCCTATTTATGACGGGCGCAGTGTCCCGGGAGTTCCCGCGATCCCCTTTTGTCATCGTCTGATGAGCAAAGTCAATGGGGAAACTGGATTCACTTAACATCCGCGTGACTAATTTAACGATGGGAGCGATTCACTTAACAACGGTGGCCAGAAAGATGGTAAAAACAGGGGGCAAAACTCACTGAACCATTGTCTCACTTAGTGTCAGAAATTTTGGGCTCAATTGCGGTCGTTGAGGACCGCCTGCACTAGCCAGTGACTTTCACAAAGATTGCAACTATATGGATAAGCCTGCTTGTTCCTTTTCTCTCTTGTCTCCGGCCTCGCACACATGCGCACAAACACACACACACACACAAGAGAAACACACTTGGAAACCTCCCAGCTACAGTTCACTGCCCCTGTCTAACAGGGCCAATTGAGAACACCTTCGGTGCTTGGTCTAAATTGGCTGGTTACTTGAGTCAGGGAGATGAAATTTCATTAGA